TTATAGCAGCTAGGGGAAAAGGGAAAGGGAACATATAGGGATAGAGAGAGGTTCATCAAGCACAGGATATCATTGTGCTATTTTCACTGCAGAAAGACAATTTCGACTGGTCAAAGTCAGCCAAGGAGATACCTGGCAAGGGAAGGCAAACGGCTTCCTGTATTTCACTGACTATTGCTCTAAACAGGCTTTCTCCCAGGGAAGTCTACTTTAAGTACACACCCCATTAACATCCCCCTCCTCGCCAATACTGCATTCAATGCAGAGAAAATTAGCTCTGCTTTCTAAAACTTTCTCCAAAGGTCCTTCAAAACAGACATTCCTCGAAAAAGATGCCAGATGCTATACTTTCAAAATAACAGGGCAGAAGACTAAAGGGGTAGTGGTATTAGACTGGTCCCTCCAGTGTGTGCTTAACACTACAATATCCACTCATTAATTTATCTCTTCCCAGACAACAAGGAAGAAGTTACCAAGAGAACACAGAAATTCAAAGTTTAAGTTAAAATAAAGAAGATCCTAGAGAAGGAAACTGTATACATGTACAGGGAAGGGTTGACAGGAGAAGGGGTAAAAAGAAAGAAGTAAGAGATAAATTATGCAGCAGTGCACAATGTTTCCTCTCCATGATGGAGGGAATCCATGGTTTGGGGAAAGGTACATAGAAGTTTACCCACTAAATGTCATCTCTAAGTTAGTATATTCTACTCAAAGGCAAGGCTTTCAAGAGCTAAAGGTCAATGAAAACTGACTAGAACAGCAGGAGTGGAGTACCCATCACCTCCATCTAGAGAATTTAAAAAAAACAAACCTGAAAATTGGTCCATTCTAGTTATTTTTTCTCTTAAATTCCCCTCATAGCAATATAACATACACATGTATTCTGGTAATCTCTAATACTCTGAAGACCCCTTACAATAATTAAAACCACCACCACAATTTCTGGGACTCTTCTACTCTGTTCTTTTCCAAGGTTTGTTCCCAAACCTTCTGAAAGCTAAGAATTTAATGGAAAAAACTGCCACCAAGACAACACATATTACCCCTTTAAGCCCTATGCTTGAAGGAAAGTTACTTTGAGTATAAGTGATCAGATTCTCTACCTAATTTCTAAACTTGTAGAAACACTCAAAAGCCTTGAAGGATTTGTGTTTGTTTCTATTCATTACCTGCTTCTCTGGCCAGATCTAAAACTTTGCTCAGTAACAGATCAGGAACAACATAAAAAAAGCTCAGCCCAGAGTTGATTTCATTCCTCACCATAATAATCCAGAAGAAATAGACTTCAGACAAGAGTCATTTATGGGAGAAGCTAACAGGTGACCTGAAGCATGGAGCATTCCAACTGGAAATCATTCCCCAGAAGGATTGCTTTCTTTGTTGACCTAACAACATATTTCAAAATTGGGTGGGCCCAAAGCTAACTAGCTCATTTTTCCTGGTTGAAAACTATCAAATTGTGTGGCCAAATGAAGTCAATATGAATTTGCTTATTTTGATACTGCAGAAGGCCAATCTTTCTTATTGTCCTTCCGAAGAACAAAACATTGGCCTAGTCCTGTTCAAAGAGCATGTTAACTAAAAAATAAGAAATAGTATTTCTACTGCTAAGGTCAGAGGTTATAAAAAAAATCCTAGGTTTTATTAGCAATAGCATCAGATCTGGTAAACTTAGAGCAAATATATATGTTTTGAGACTACAATGAGTACAACAGGGGAATATAAAATCTAGGTGGAAGTACAGTAAAAAACTGAACATGTAAGAATGCAAACCTACTGAGTTGAACTAATTTGAAGCCACGGAGCTGTTATAAAATAAATTCTGTGGTTTCCGTTATACAGATACATAAAGGGGTGGGGAAAAAAATCAGCCGTTGAAGGAAAGGTCCAACTTTATTGAGTTAGGAGGAAAAGAGAGGATAAGATATAATTGAGGGTGTCACTGAATACACATAGATGGAAGATGTCCAACTAAAAAGACCACTAGGAGCCAATGATTTTGGGGTGGGGTGCAGCCTCAGATGAAAAGTTTTAAATTCTAACTGCAAAGTCAAAGCAAATTTCTGGAGGCCAGAAAGAGCAAAGCCATCTGCCTAGTTACAGTATCTGTTATTTATATCTTTCCCAGGTAGTTTAATATTGGCTGCTGTTAAGAGTTCTTTGGGAAGTCTGATAGAAGACATTATAAAAACACAATTAATAGGCTGTATGGAAAAGGTTGCTTAGACTCTAGCAAAAATTGCATCACTACTGTTACAGGAAAGTTTGGTTGACTTACTGGCTGATAACTGCTTCATAGAATCTAATAAAGGGACTGAGATGATGCACAGGTAGTGTGATGAAACTTTTTAGTCTGTACCAGGTTCTAATAACTGAAATTAATCTACACTAGGGATATACAGCTTTTAGGTAAACAGTGGCTTTCCACACCGCCAAAAATAAATGAAACAAAAATAGTGCTTTAAGGTCTACCCTCCCTGGCAAAAAGTCTATAGACATTTAGATTCTGCTTATTTGGAAAAAATAAGATGTTTTCATTACATACAGGGTGTTCCAAAAGTCTTCATGCGTTTTTAAGCTACTAAAGCTTTTTAAATTAACTAAGTCTTTTGCGATACCATATGTTTTGGGAATAGGAGAGAAAGGATAGAAAAAGGGAGAAGAAAAGTGTTCTTTCAAACAGGAGGGAAGGAAGTCAGACCTGAGAGAGGCCTGTTTGTAAGGCTACGAGAGACTCCCAATAACAGCCAAATGGTGATATACTGGAGCAAGAAGGAACTCTGGGAGGTGTAGAAAAAGTGGGCCACATGGTAGGAAGACTGGAAGGACAGCAAAAATTGAATGATGAATATTCTAGGTTAGAGCAAGAATGAGTGTGGAGGACAAAATATCAATAAAAAAAATTCTTGATTTAAAAAGTTTAACTACCTTTGTTCAAATATATTCCTTGTTATTAATTTTTAACCTATGTTTCTTTTAGCTTCTAGTTACCACCAAAGTTTTCATCAGTAATTCTAGGTATAAGTTGAGGTAGGATAAGGAATCTTAATCCAGAGCTCAGCTAAAGCCAGGTACCTTTTTCCCTTGTTTTTAGCACAATCATGCAACAGACACCTACAATATTGGGTTCCATTTTAGTCACATTCCCATTGGAAGGTAGTGACTACCTCCAAGACTGGACAACACAAAGCAACCAACATCAGTCAGGATTCAAGGTCTTAAGTAAAACCTGACTTCTTCATCATCATTAAAAAATTACAATTTATGTGTAAGGAGGATTTTGGAAAGAATTGTTTACCCCAAACTCACAGATGATCTGAACACAAACCTAGGAATAAATGTGGAAAAGAATTTTATGTACAAAGAACCACAAAGTCAGAAATTAAATATGACTTTAGGAAGAGTAGTACTGTACAATACCCAGAACTCAAAGGAATCTTCCTTTTAACAAGTCTATCTGTAATAAAGAAAACTAACTATGCTCTTCACATCACATATATAACTCCCTCTAAATAAGAAGGTTCTATCAAGACTCTCTAAGTGTCCTATAGAGGAAAGTAAGCTGTTTAATTTCTCAGCAGCAAATGATGACAGAATAGCAGGAGTGGATGACAACTCAAAAGTTCAAATATTGACTGCTATTTCCAGATAGCGATCTGTAGGTTAACTCCTCTAACTCTTATCTGAAGCTCTCCAAAAACCCTATAAACAAATCTATCCCCAGGAATCATCCAACAGTAGAGTCCCATATAATCCTCATTCTGGGGTACAAATAATGACTACAAACCAATACTTGCAGCTTACAAACCATAATACTTCCCAGATGTTCATCAGGGTTGGGGAGGATATTTATGGATAAGACTCTTTTAAATAGTCACTTTCGATATGTTTAATAGGAATGTATATGTAGAGCCTATATCAGACTGCATGCCGTCTTGGGGAGAGAGGGGGAGAAAATTTAAAACTCAAAAGCTTATGGAAGTGATTGTTGAAAACGAAAAATAAATTAGTTAATTAAAAAAATTGTCACTTTCTTAGTGAATTGGGATTTTAAGTGTGCAGTGGACTAATTAGGTTATCTCTTATAGGGGACCTTATTCATGGATTGAAGTGCAGGACCATGGTTATTCTCATGAAGGAACTTCATCTCCTGTAGGATTCAATCTCCAAAGCTGCCAACACACCATATTATATGCCACATTAAATCAAACAAAAAGAAACAATTAAGTCTGATTTAGAGATTATTTTTGCCAATCAGGACAGAAAATGGAAAGCTTTGGGGTATGTGTCCTGGCAGGAAACAACATTATGACACTATTGGAATTCAGTGAAATTTTCCAAACTGGAAATCTACCCCGAACTTAGTTTTCCTTTGTTGTTGTTGTTGCTTTACTGACATTCCCCTGAGAGCAGAGGTGTGAAACACACAGCCTGCGGCCTAGATGCCCCAAACTAGATTAAAATGTAATTGGGAAATATTTAACCAAACAAATAAAAATACAATAAAACACAGATAACATCACATTTTAAAACTAAGTCCATATGCTGCCCTCAGGGATCCTTATGCAGAGATTAGTGGTCTTCATTTCTATTTAAGTTTGACACCACAGCTTTACAGGATGGGCTCCGGCCAGACAATCAATTTGCCTAAGCCCTAGTACCATTTCTTTAAGTACCAGGTAAGAGATCATGAAAGCAGTACTTCAATTTGCAACATAAAACCTCACATAATCTTCTTTGGAAGCAGGGATCCCTGGCTTAGACAGAGCCAAGTTAAGACAAAAGTTGTGACAACTGAGATAAACAAGTTCGTTCAGGCCAGATTCATATAGCTCAGGAAATGACCCAACAAAGCATGGAAGCTGCCCAATGAGCTCAAAGCAGACCAGGCCCAGTTGGGGACCCTGGAAGGCACAGGGCAGAGGAGAAACAGAAGGGACTCAATAACAAAGGAAGAATTAGGAAGAGAAAATTCATTTCATAAAAACTCAGTCAACAGATTAAAAAAAATACAAACTTGAAATGTATTAAAGACAGCAAATGACAAAAGGAGAGACTCCTTCAAAATTTGATATTTTCTTTCCATTTAAGAGCTAACAAGTGAACTGGATTTGCTGCCTCAGGCAGCTGACAGATACAGATATATGCAGTAGATTAACACAAACACAGCTAGTGCTTATAATGCTCATTAACACAACAGCTGACAAACAAATATACAGAAATTTTTAATTGAGAAAACAAGGGAGAATAGGGGAGAAGAAGAAACCCAACCTCAGAGGCCAAGGAGGCTCCACACATCACTGTGTTCTGAGTCCAGCACAGGCAACGGGGAGACTGGCAAGAAACTCCTAGAGCAGCTTCTGGGAACAGTGGATGCAAAGCAACAAAAGACATACTGGCCACTGGAAACTTGTTCTTACTTTGGGGATAGGGATGGGGCAGAAAACATAGCCCCTGCCTCTTCGGCATGGACTCCCAACAGCATTAAACTCTCAGTATCTCCAGACAGTTGTTGTAGCAGATGGCTATCCAGTCAGGCTGAGTTGATGCCCACTGTACATTGTTGATTTCACCTTCTGCCGTGTAGGCTAAGATAGGGTCCTCAATGGCTCGGGGCATTTGCTGGATATCCCAGATGAGAGCCTGATGGTCATCCGCTAAGACAAGTAAAAACAATAAATTGGGTCAAAACTCAGGCAAGACACAAAGATATTACAGCCATCGTTTCCCAAGGAATTAGAATGGGCTCCTCCCAGACCAATTTCAGGAACTCAAGGCAAAGACATTAGTATCAAGCTCCTTCTCAGAAAACACCTGTGGACTTCAGAACTACTGGCCTCCTAAGTTTCACCAGAGCATACCAGATTGGGAAACCCTTTTTAGACCCAAGGGTGACCTAAGAAAACTCTAACTAAAACTTTAAATAAAGTGCTAAACTGTGGGTAATACTGAACTTTGTACTGAGGCAGCAAGTATGACAGATCTACCTCTTGACTTTGAGTGTAAGAAAAATCTGAGGGCTCTAAAAAATAATAAAGTTGGATTTTTTGCACCCTGAAGTAAGAATACCAGGACAGAGCACTAAATATTTCCCTAAGTCAAGCAAACTGTCTAATATTCTCATTTCACTGAAGGACCACACTGTCTGACAAATTGCTCAAAGGGGAAAAGGCCCAAAGATTTTCCAGAGAAAAGCACCCTTCCCAGTCCCAGTAAAGAAGAGACATTCCTTGGGACCTTTTATTCTCCAAGAGTACTCTCTACCTCCCTACCTCATTCCAATTTTTAAAAAAAGATAGAATTACTGAAGGCAACTTGAAACATTTGCTACCTAACTTTGAAATCAAAAGTTAAAACACAAATCCTATAGAGGCAGCAAATAAATTGCTCCTAAGGATGTAAATGAAAAGATGACTGAAAGGCAGTCAAATTCTAAGAAAATGAAAAACCCAGTAACAGTTCTGGAGAACAGATAAAGAAAAATATTTTCCTTCCCTCAATATGAAGGCAAGAGTCCACTAGGGCAGTCTGTTTTCTACATTGTCAGAAACAGTCACTATATCAGGTATTTTTGCTTACTTGTTTTCTTTGGGTTCAATCTGGCAGAGGGAGTATTTCTGGAAATGAATGATATAAAAACAAATGGCAGCAATACATTTCAATTGCTGCTATGTCCTGTATGGCTCACATAAATATGAACTATTATTCTCTTAGAAGCAATGTAATAGAGGGGGACAAAGCTTAATGAACTTTCACATTGTTGAAAATTCCACATAGAACATCACAGTGACATCTTTTACTTGGTAATTGAAGTGATGAGCTCACTACTACTGATGAGGAGAAACTATGCCAGAAAGGAAAACGACGGACAAACAAAATTCTGAAGTTGAAACTCTTGAATTCTGGAGCCAATATTTCCCCCAAAGGTAAGTTAACAAGTTAGCATTTTTAAAGGGGTAATCCTTCTGGCTTGGTAAATACCAAAGTAAGAAGTAGAAACTACATTCTACTACCCATCTAAGTCTATTCTGGGCCACAATTAATATTCAGAGCTCCACAATGGGTCAAACCTAACAGAAATACGTTAGTTTGGTAGGGTCCCAAGTTAGTTCTTACATAGCCCCAAAGGAACCTCTGTCCTACTCGGACAGATATAAATGCCCAGGACAAACTACTTGCTACTTGTGTGGAGTTGGGCAAGTGACCAAACCTTTCTGTGCCTCAGTTTCCTAAACTACCAAATAAGAGTGCTAGACTAGATGCCCCTGAAGTCTCTATCAATTCTAAATCTATGTTCTTATATGCTGAAATGATCCACTCTAATTCTAAGACTGAAAAGAAGGCTTAGTCCCATTTTACAAGTGTGAGGAAAGTCCTGGTTAAGTTACTTTATATAACTTAAGTAACTGAAACTCACTGTTTTATTCAGATAAATTACAGTTCCAAGGGAAAGAAAGACAGAAACTCTCCCTCCCCCCATCTTGCTTTCTCTCCACACGCTTACCTGCAGTACAGATGTGGCAAGATGAATGTGGGGCCCAGGCAATGCCATTGACACATGCTCGGTGGTTGTTTAACCTGGCAACAGGAGTGCATGGAACTCGTACATCCAAAATTACCACCTGTAGAAAAGGGTAAATAAATGATAGCATTAACTTCAGTGTGAGGAAGAAATGATACAGAATACAAAAGGAAACATTTCTTTTTAAAACATCTTTTCTACATTTGGGGGGGGCAATTAGGGTTAAGTGACTTGCCCAGGATCACACAGCTACTAAGTGTCAAGCGTCTGAGGCTGCATTTGAACTCAGGTCCTCCGGACTCTAAGGCCGGAGATCTATCCACTGCACTATCTAGCTGGCCCTCATATTTTTCCATATATATTTAAAAGATACTAGGTGTTTATGGGCTTCTAACCACTTAAAAAGGCTTCCACAAAGCATTCCTGGCTGGAACAAGTGAAGAAGCACTGAGCAAGGGCAACAAGCACCATACAGACAGTTCTCATTTCATGTAAATTCACATTTTGCAAATTCAACTTTATGTAAAGAATTCAGAAAGAAACTCTCATTCAAAAAAAAAAACTACATTATCTTCACCTTACAGTGCTGTGCTCTCTCTCTCTGTTCCTGCCCCTCAGCTGAGTGCTCCATGGCCTCCCACCACCCCACCAAAGAAACAAAACAAAGCAAAAAAAACAAACTTCCAAGTGAAAGCAGAACAAACGCATGGAGAGACTGACACTAATTGGGACCTTGGTTTGAGACCTTCAGTAGAGAGAGAGGAGACCTTTGCTCCACTGCGCTCACCTGCCCAAGTGTCTGGCCTCTGTGTGTCAGTATATGCTTGGTACCATGTGTCCACTCCTGGCCTCTGCATGTTGCCCATCTTTCCTGTCTGTGTCCATTTTTGGTTCCCATGTATCTGCCCCCCGTGTATTCTTCTCAGTTCCAGAAAGGTTCCCATGTGGCTGGCCCCAGCCCTTGTCTCCTGCTCTTGCTTCTCTGTTCCTGGCCCCCAACATGTCCATGAACTGTGTACCAGCCCCCTCCCTCTCTCCATGGGCATGAGACCCCCCTTCACCCTCTACATACACGGGCAAATTCATATTACATAAAAATCGTTTTATGTAGGGGTCTGCAGAACAGTCCACTTCTAAATGTACAAGTGCAGGGAATTTGCTGTTACACACCCCATTTAGTTGCCTATAATAGGAATTATGTGCATACTTAAGAGCTTAAGATACCAAAGCGTTGGTTTTTGCCAAAGGAGTCAAGAAAAGGAGTCAAAATTTTCACTTGCATTTAGACAATATGGAAGAAAACGGAAATCCTTTCTGTGGTGACATTAACATTATGCTATACACAGTTGTTACTGCTTTATCTCATCTCTACCTGTAACTCATTTCTTTTTCAAAGGATAGGATGCAGAAAGGAAGGGTCATGTCTATTTCAGCTGGGTAAACAGAGAAGAAGGTCCCTGGATTAAAAAAAAAAAAAAAGAAAGAAAGAAAGAAAGAAAAATCTTTCCCAAATGACCACAAGCATCCTTATCAGAATTATAGGAGGACAAGAAAAAGGGTTTTTCTGGCTGTAATTTCCAGTCCACAAAACAAGGTGCAATGAGTTATTCTGAGTAGAAGATAAACTGAATTAGTGAGGCAGAATTTCTGCCAACTTAACAGACTAAATAAGTTCTCACAAGGAAGAACTCACCTCCATTCCATCCATGGCCATTGTGGCTAGATAGTTAGGGTCTTGCTTGTTCCAGCAGAGACGTAGCAGGGGGTGATGCTGTGGATCTTCATAAATGATAGTACTGTGTTCCAGGTGGCGGAGATCAAACATCCGCACAGAACCATCTGCACCCACTGAAGCAAACATGTCCCTGCCGCCCCCGGCCCGACTAAATGCAATGTCATAGACCTGCTCAGAGATAAGAAAAAACTGTCAGAATCAAGACTAGCTCTCTTTTTCTTCCAGCAGGGAAATCTATAATCTCCAGGTCATCCAAGTACCAGTGGACCAACTCTGCTAGACTTGTGGCACAACAGAGGTAAATACTATGTAAATGTAGAGTGTGAAATAAGCTCTCCTGCTGTATGAGACACAAAGCCTAAGACTAATGACAGTCTACAGGTCACAGACCACTCCACCAGCACTTTCCTCCCTACCTCACCCCCCAACTAATTTATGTAGCATAAATATTTTAAGCGTTATTCTTCATACTTGGAACATAGTGGAATCCAAGGCATATAACCAGATTCTGCCTTGCTATTAGATTAACAAGCTTATACTACCTGAGTACTATAATCCCTTAATGGGTTTCACTTGTTTGGGTTCAGAAAAATAGTCCCAGGGAATCCATGACTAAAATATGAGTAACAATATTAATATTAAGGATCACAGAATGAGACGGAGATGTAGTAGTCTCATCAGCTTAACAGCAGAAAAACTGAAAAAAAAAAAAAAAAAAAAAAAGAGTAATGAAGACTAATAACTATCCAAATTCTGTTGTGAAATCTCTAATAAAGAATCATTAATATGGAGGTGAAAGAAGCACATTTAAATCGTCATTATACTTGTAAATGCGTTTAAGAGTTTCAAATTCTCCTATGACACAGAATCCTTTATTTTATATTATGTCCATTATTCTTATTGTATGCTTATTCCACTTCCCTGAAGGTGGAGGGGATGGGGAGCACTTGAATGATATCCTTAGAAAACATCAGGAAGTCAGAAGCATTGGTAAACTGAGCCAGGAAAAGCTTTATCAGTCTTTGGCTCAACACTTAATAGTCATCTCTGCCATGTATGTGAGCTGAGAGATGGGAGTGGTCTCTAAGACCAGGAATTAGGAAATTAGTGGGTGGCCCAAAAGAGAGCGAATAAGGAATTTGAAATAAGAAGAAACAAAGAGTCTTCTTATGGCTATTTAGTAGAGCTGATGTGATGCACATAGACCAACGGTAAAAGGTTGCGACTCACCACAGAGGCCACACAGCCACTTGAGGGAAAAAAGCCAAGATGCTAACTTAGAACAATGTATGAAGAAGTTTAGCTTTGCCAAAGAGCAAAACTGACCTGAATAAGTAGATAATGAATGTGATTCAGACAAACCAAAAAAGAAAGTAAGACAAGCATAAAACAAAGGTTAAAAAATTCAGGCACCCTAAGTCATGGATAACCCCAGAAAAGCGTGAATGTACATCCAAAGTTAGTAAAGGATGGCCTAAAGTTCAGGACAGTAATCTTTGGGAACATATTAGGCAGTGTCATAATTAAGGAAGTCAAGAGGAGAATAAGCAAAGCCACGGAAGATGAGGAGTTACAGTACAGCCTGAAGCCACAATGTGGGGAGCTCACATCTTTAAGTTAAAATTAGGAAACAGATACTGAGAGGAACTGAGGATGCTACCATATCTGCAAATAGGCTCTGGGATGAAATGAGGATACCACCTGATCTGAAATTTCAGTTGGTGCTAACCTAAATTATCTCTGACTAAAAGTTTTCAGATCCTTTCATTCCAACCAGACAGAAATAAGGAATCAGATCTTTGACACTGCATTAATCACACAGATCTTTAGCTAGATCACATGTTCTTAACCTTTTCTGGTGTCATAACAGCTAGCATTTATATAATACTTTAAGATTTCCAAGTGTTTTACCAATATTGTCTCATTTTATCCTTCCAACAACTCTGAAGTAGGTGCTATTATTATCCCCATCATACAGATGAGAAAACTAGAGTGAACAAGACATTAAGTGCTTTGCCCAGGGTCACACAGCTAGTAAATGTCTGAGGCTGGATTTGAACTCAGATTTTCCTGACTCCACATCCTGTGCTCTATCCACTACACCACCTAGTTGCTATGGACCATTCTGTTAGTCTGGTGAACCCATGGACTCTTCAGCATAATGTTATTACATGCATAAAGTAAAATATACAGTACAAAGGAAATCACTTTTACTGAAATACAGTTATCAACATATTTTAAAAATCAGCTTATGGGCTCCAGGTTAAGAACTCCTGGGCTAGCTGTTAAAGATAGGACTAGGGATAAGGATTGGACTTGTAATTCATTGATATGGAGGCGTTCTACGTGAGGAAATTCCCTCAACAAATGCAGGTTGGCAACTTCTCTATCTTAGAAAATTGCCAAGGGCACTGAGAAGTTAAGTGACTTGCCCAGAATCACAGTCAGTGACAGAGATAGGACTTGAACCTGGGTCTCCTGAACTCTGAGGAGCCCACTATTCACTTTCTCACATTTGTTTCAGATGTTAAAAGTTAGGGATCATAAATGTGCATTCTATAAATTAGTTCATGTCTCTGTTTTTGTATATATGTGGTTTTTTTTTGTTTGCTTTGCCTTCACTTCCTAGTTTAATACTTCTGAAAAAACTTTTGTCTCAGCTCCATAAAAAGGAAAACATTGATTTTACAACAATTTAGTCAGGACTGAGGTCATGGGATTCAGTGCACCACTAAAAGTTTGAAGTAGATGTGAAGGAAGCAAAGCAGTTTCAGAGTCTGTGGAAAGCTAGAGAAGTCAAGATGTTAACAGAACAAAGAACTAGAAGGGAAGTCTAGGAAAGAGCATGGAACAAAAAGCAGAGGAGGGAGGAGATCAAAAATGCAACACTGAGTACAACTACATCACACAATAGAAGAAGAAACAGACAGTCATATTCTATAATGTTAGGGGAAGAGTAATAGCTCAGGAAATAATAAAATCAGACATCAATTATGAGAACTGCACAATAACTGAAATGTTTGTTAATGCTAACAGCTCCCTATCTGGATAAAATACATTAACTACCAGGAGAACACAAACTCAGAAGCTCTAGATCTTGACACTTGACCGTGTTCCTCCCAAGTGTTAGCCTAAGGCCAAGGGGAAGAGAAGCTTCGTCGGCTGTAAGTTACTTCAAGGCTGCGTTTCACCACAGTCACAAGAGAAGATATTCTAGTACAGGGTTTCCATCAATCTTTATGACTTTAGCTGGGAAGCACTTTGACAAAAATCTAATTGGCAAAAAAGACCTAAAACAAGACAGGAAGAGACCAAAGTTTCCCTGATTTTAACATGGGGGAAAAATAATAACCCAAAGTTACCAGGAGGCTCAGATCAATTTCCTCAGAGCAGCTATTCTCTAGTTTAGCTTCTTCTAGGTCAGCAAATGTCTGCAGAGATCACTGCAGGTTATTGCTACATGATCAAGACAAAGAAATCTTGAGGCCCAGAAGCTCCTCTTCAGTCTTCTCAGCTACGCAGACATCATTCATTGTTTAAATCTGGGTAACCTGATGACAACTGAGTCATCTTATGACAAAAATCTTACTATTAGAAATTAGAGAGAGAGATGGGCAGGGTAAAGACCAATGGCTTTGAAATCAAAAGACTTCCAGCTCAACCACTTACATGGCCTCAGGTAAGTCACATCACCTTTGTGAGCCTCTCATTTCCTCATTTATAAAATGAGGGGGACAAGCTGCTGATCTCTAAGATCCCTTCCAACTCTTTAGACTAACTGGAGAAATATGAAAGGCTGGATTTTTATTAGTAGCCTAGTAGCCAACAACCTAAAGTCTCTGCTCTGAGATTTAAAGCTTAGCTCTTTAGAAGAGACATTTAATACCATCTTCTGGCAGCTTAAGATAAAGTGAGAAAGAAGAGCAATTGCTGTACAAGGAAATCAGAGTAGGCAAGTAAGCAGTCACAAGAGTAAACATTTAAGATAAGCCTCCAAACTAACCCAGAAAAATGCTTGGATTTCTACAATTACTTCTGTCAAAAAGAGTTATCCCTGTCTCTACTCATACTGATACAGAAATGTCAAAATGGATTAGTCTGAACAGGAATAACAATAGCTATTAAGCAAACAAAAGATCTATAAAAACTTATCTAGAAGGGGAAAAAAAGCAATGGTTAAGGCTGGTCTGCCAAAAAATTATTTTTTGTCCAAATGCCAGGCTTCATTAAGTTGATTATTTCTATACCAAAGTTACTGAAGAATGATGCTTACAATAAGGTAATAATGTTTTAGTTACAAGAGGTCCTAATCAGACTTTAACATAGCACACACACACACACAAAAAAAAAAAGCCTGTCTCAAAAATGTTACAACTTCTTGCTTAAAGCAACTACTTCAAAAGTTGTAGTTTTTTTGGTTAATATGTTCAAGAAATATATCTGTGGGACATAGTGCCAAGTCCCCTCAACCTAGGACTACAAAAATGGAGGCTAGGGGAGCACAAATGAGCACTTTCTTGTAATTTACTACAAAAGAGGTCAAAGTGAAGGAATAATGCTGGGGATAAGATGTTACTCTATGCAGTAATGGGGAGAGGAAAGAGAAAAGGGATATGCTCACCATATTCAATAAAGTGTTTCTCCAGTTTAAATTACATGAGTTTTTGGTTGGTATACATATTTATATTTTTCATTAAATTTTTTTCAAATACTTTTTCAAAATATATTTTGATTCACCATCAAGGTCAAAAATTGATAAAGTATGCCCAGTCCCTGCATCAGCTTTCCTATGGCCCGTGAGCGAAGAATGGTTTTTACATTTTTTTTTTTTAGGCAACTGGGGTTAAGTGACTTGCCCAGGGTCACACAACTAATAAGTGTGAAGTGTCTGAGGCTGGATTTGAACTCAGGTCCTCCTGACTCCAGGACCGGTGCTCTAGCCACTGTGCCACCTAGCTGCCCCATTTTTAAATAAAGTTTTATTATATTTTAAAATGTAAAAACCATTCTTAGCTCTCAGGTTATACAAAAAAGGGAAGGCCCTGATCAAAAGCAACAAAACATTGAATCTTTTTAAAAATGGTGTGTTATTTTCAATTTAATCAATGTAATCAAATTAATTATAATTCCCACAAGCTATAAAACAGATAATGGAAGAAGTCTGACATGTACAACAAAGCAAATACAAAGCTATAGAGAAAAAAGAAAAAGAAAGACAGTTATCACCTCTTTATCATGTGCTATCAGCTGAGTCTTCACATGGCCAGATACTAGATTCACTCTCCCTAGAACCTGACCAGTCTCCAGACCCCAGATAGTGCAGGTTGTATCAATGCTTGAGGTACCTGAAACAACCAATATAAATCAGCTACTACAAGTGAGACTATTTCATTCTGAGTTTTCTTTTCTTTATCTGATTAACCTTGTAACAGCACTCTTTCAAATATTTCTTGAGCTCCTCCTCAGTATAAATTACTATGCTAGGCACCAAGAGGGATAAAGTATAATACAGTACATGATAAAAATATTAACTCATTATTTATATAGCACTTTAAAAGTTTGCGAAACACTTTCCTCACAACCACCCTATAAAATATTGCAAGTATTTTTGGACCAGACCTGTGAATTCATTGGCATAAGGAACTTCCAGTGAAAAGAAACCCTCTAACGATATAGATAAAACTGCTACATTATCCCTAGCAGCTAGGTGGGTGGTATAATAAACAGAGTGTTGGACCTAAAGTCAGGAAGACCTGAGTTCAAATGTCACCTCATAAAGTTACTAGCTGTGTGATCCTGCGCAAGTCACTTAACTTCTTCCTGCCTCAGTGTCCTCAACTCTAAAATACAGTTAATAATGTCACCTACTTCAAAAGGTTGTTGTGATGATCAAATAAGAAAATACAGCACAGTGTCTAACACACAGGAGACATTTAATGTTCTTTTCCTCCCTACTCCAACTACTTTTATAGAGAAGGAAACTAAAGCACAAAATGGTTAAATTAATTGATGAAGTAAAATGATTAGCATGTAGTCCCTGTATTCAATGACTTTAGAACCTAGTCAAAAAGATGAGACAAAACGTAAACACCTGAAAAACAATAAGGGGTCAAACAATATAATCCTGTATCTTAGCTGCTCATCCTCACATAGCTATATTGTAAAGCACTTAGCAGGGTGCCTGGCACACAGGTGGTTATAGGTGCTTTCCCTCCCTGCTACTGAGATGCATCTCAGGCCCACAGTTAGAAAGAGGTTTGGGGGAGGGAGGGGGAGAAAAATTTAAAACTCAAAAGCTTATGGCAGTGATTGTTGATAAATCAAAATAAATTAATTTTTTTTAAAAAAAAAAATTCAAAATAGTATAGAAAGCAAATGCCACTTATTGGAAGATATTCACTGGAATTTGCTTTTCCAATTGATCTGATCTACTGTTCCCTTTGGATTATCTATGGGAAAAAAGTGAAGTGGATTAATAATATGGATAGTACTGTATGTATCAGAACAATGTACACCTAACTTAAGAGAAGTAATTTTGTAAGGATTCTAGTATATTAATTGTTAAAATAAATGATACTAATCATAAAAAAAAAGGAAACTGAGGCTCATACAGGCAAAGTGACTTACCCAAGGTCACATAGCTAGTAAGTGGCCACTTACCATCAACTCCATGTCCTCAGTTCTTTTTTGCTATTTGAACTTCCCACTGAACTTGAGTGAAGCAAGAAACATGGTATAAATTTATTTTTTCAAATATTGAAGGATGAGAAAAAAATAGTGGTACCTAGATACAGTATGCTGTTTACACCATTGCACTTAAGATTCCTGAAGGAGCCATTTGTAGCAAATGACAGTTGGTTTGGGAATACAAGTGAATCTTGATTTTCTTGAACTAATAGAAAGTGGGAAATATGTGGAGTTAGGTGACAACTAGTCCAGTCATCGCCCAACTGTGTTCCACTGAAGCCATATGTTCTATGCCTTGCATTTCAGGGTTCCCTGAGGACATACTGAGGCTGGCAATAATTTTGCCTCTGAAATGTTGAGTATGAATTTTTTGAAGAAAAATATTCATAGTATTGATCATTTTTCAGGATGAAAATGCCCTTAATTTTCTTGACCCATTCTCATCTTCCCATCTTTATTCCAAGGGTTTTCATAAACTATTAAGCTGAAAAGGAATTTAAGAATCATCTAAGTGTAGTTTCCTTTTTTAGGAAACTGAGTCAAAGAGAAGAAAACAATTTTCCTAGGTTACTATAATCAGTACCAGGACTGGAATTCAAACTCAGATCTTTATACTCCAAATACAGTTTATCATGTCACAGCTGTCTCTCAGGTATCAATATCCCCATTTTGTAGATGAGGAAATTGAGGCTCAGAAAAGTTAAGTGTGTGACCAAAGTCACATGACTAATAAGTGACAGAACCACAGCCCAAATTCAGGACTTCTGATGCTGAGTGCTGTTCTTTTTCTACTATTGCATACTAGTTTTGGAATGCCTATATAGTAATGGAAAGAAAATGGGCCTTGGAGCCAGGAGTGACCAGAGATGGCATCTTGCCTGTGCTACTAACTAGCTTATGTCCTTAGACAAGGTGTTCAACTTCTCTACTCAATAATAATATCTGCCTCTCAAGGATCACAGATTTTTGTTGTTGAGTCATTTCAGTTGTGTCCAACTCTGTGGGACCCCATTTGAGATGTTCTTGGAAGAGATACTGCAGAGGCCTGCCATTTTCTTCTCCAGCTCATTTTACAGATGAAGAAACTGAGGCCAATAGGGTTAAATGACTTGCCCAGGGTCACACAGCTAGGAAGCGTCTGAGGCCACATTTGAACTCAGGGAAATGAGTCTTCCTGATTCCAGCCCTCCACCCCCAACACACTCACCCTCTCTCAGGGGAAGTGAACAGTATGACTTGGAGAGATCAGGGGATATCTTTATGGAGGAGTCGTGGCTTGAGCTGGACCTTAAAGACTGGATCAAACATGGGGAGGTCGAAGGGCAGGCCGACGACAAATGTAGGGGACAGTAATGACACAGGTTGGCCTAGAGCAGAGAGTTCATGGAAGTTAGCTGCTGGCTAAGGTGGTGGGACAGATTATAGATGGCCTTGAAAGCCAGGCTGAGAACTTTGGATTTAATGGGGATAGAAATAATCATTGTCATTGTCATCGTTGTTGTCATCATCATCATTTAAAAAAAAAAAGAAATGAAGAAAGAGGCTTGGTTTTTACAATTCAGAACACAAATTCTTCCTTTTCCGGTCACACGTGCTGTAACATCTTACTTCTCTTACCTAAGAGATAAGGATCTACCTCATTCCAGTCAAAGGAGGTCAAGGGAGCACAGAAGTCAGAGTTCTTGTTATTGTTTAGCAAACACTCTAGTCTGGTCTCTGTTTCACCAACCTGCAGGCAACAATAAAAATTGCTAATAATAACCATTCACAGCGTCACTTAACAGATGTGTTCATTTTTTAAATTAAATTTTTTTCAAATGAAAATTTACCTCTCCTTCCCACTTTTGTTTCCCCACCCCCACTAAGACAGCAAGAAAAACAAAAACCCTGTTACAAGTCATACATAGTCAAACAAAACAAATTTCTACTTTGGTCATGTCAAAAACAAAGAAAGAGAAAAAATGTCTCAATCTGCACTGTGAGCCTACCACTTCTGTATCAGGAAATGGGGAAACATGATTTCCCAAGTCCTCTGGAATCATGGTGGGTCGCATGGTGTTAATCAGAGTTGCTAACTCTGTCAAAGCTATTTGTCTTTACAATATTTTTGTTATTCACAGAGTTCTATAAACCTTATATCTCACTAATAAACAATATGGAAAAAATAATTACGTCAAAGAAGGTGGCAATAAAACCCAAAGCTCCCAAGTCTCTTTCCAAAAAAGTTCCTCTTTCTCAATTTCTCTAATGACTACTTAATCTTTTAAAATCCTGTCCCCAATCTTCTCTAGAGTAAGAGGTGAAAAGATCTTCCCATAATCTCAAAGCCAAAAAATTCTGCTTCCATCTTGACTACTTAGTTGCCCTCTCTGCTATTCTGATGGCACAAGCTCTTCTATGCTGTGTATATACAGACATAGTATTTTGTTTAACTTACTAAAAAAACAATTTGGTTGTAAAGAGAATAAAGGGCTCTAGACACACATACATATATTGAAGATTTTAACTCAGTAACTGTCATTTTTATATAAGGTTACCTAAACTTGTATTTTCACAGCTGCAGAAAACCAACACTTCTGAGAATGGAGTCTGAGTTGCTTAAATCTCCATGCCTTGGTTATTTTTACCCTAAGTCATATTACGTGAACGGAGAGTCTTTATCTCTGTTCACACGAACACTAGGAAAGCTACATAAAGACTTAGATAGTACTAGAAATACATGAGTAAAATAAACATAAAATAAACCTTTAAGTTGAATTTTGAAACTTCCTGGGCTAGAGAAACTAAGTTATCCATTTATTCTAGGTTATTCTGACAAAGAAAACTAACTTCCCTCCCAGTCTCATGTCTCTGGGAAACCATGTTGCTATAATGTCCAGGAGGCTAGCTGTTAATCAATACTATACTCACCCTCCACACACGGAGATAGTCACCACTGGTTGCCAACAGATCTGGGTAGACTCCCTTTGTGTCAGGAATCCACATCAGCTTTGTAGTAGGGTAAGGATGGTCAAAAGTATTTCTGCAAATAAATTCGGAACTCTCCTCATCTAAACCTACAAGCTGGACCTGGAATACACAAAATTTGAGTAATATGATAATGTATTTGAGTAACAAAATAATGTTGGGATTTTTTTCCCCATGAACTAACCAGCCAGATGATGGTAGAGTACTGATATAACAAAGGTCCTGATAACCTTACTACTGAGACTTGCAGAGAAAGTTATCTTGGTTATACAGTTATCTATATAGTTTTCTTTAAAAATGGAGGTTTCTTTAAAAATGGAGCTTTTTATACAACATTTGATGCAAAGATAAACATTCATTCCATTTAAAGTTGAAAATGGACAGTGAGGATAACAAAGGAGAAACTTCCCTCTGGTTTTGGCTCCACACTTTTCCTTGGAATGGATTTTGGTCACCACCCATTTACATGCTTTGCTATCAATTACTAAACTGGCTAAGAGGATTCTGCTACTTTGAACTGCCAAGAAACTGCCAAGACCCCGTCCAATGGAATGGTGGTAATTCTTAGTAAGCAGCTATTATGAGACTGTAAGTCCTTACTCTGCAAATATAAGATTTTTATAAACTAACTTTCCTTTCTTCCCTCTACTTCTCTTATGAGACTTAAGCCAGAAAAGCATTGCTCTTTCTCCCCATTTCTAATTTTGTATTCATTTGATAAGCCCAGGCTATTATTGAGTTCTTACAGTGAGAGGGAATAGGAATGGGGATACAAAGATGTCTAAGAACCAGTTCCTGCCCTCAAAGAGTTTATAATATAATTGAAAAGAAATAACAGAGTTAAATTAAATAATGATAAAGCATTTAGAGCACAGTTCAATAAAAAAGAAGAGTTGTCACATGGAACAATATAGGCTTGACTGTCAAATGAACTGTACAAATGATAAATGCTATAGCAGTGAGTTTCAAGGAGACAGAGGTAGTCACTTTAGAGTGGGTGATCAAGAAGAGTGTAATTATTTCTTGATTCTTTAGATTGTAGAAAGACTTCACAGGTCATTTAGCTCAATACCCCTGCTCCTCCCCCCATTTAAAGATGAAGAAATTGAGGCTCAGAGAGGAAAAGTGATTTGGCTAAGATTAAGCAGGGAGTAATGTAACATAGCTTGGGTTTAAACTCAATTCCTAATGCCAAAATTAACTGTTCTCTCTATTATACTATGCTGCCCTGAAGGAAGTATGATTTGGATAGGGAGACATAAAAAAAGGTTTGGAAAGTAGGTGAACAACATATACAAAAGTAGATATGAGAAAATGCAAGGCGTACTGAAGGTGAATAAACCTGTCTGGGAGAAGTTTCATGTAAGATATACAGCTGGATAGGCAGGCTGTAGTGAGATTGTAGAGGGCCTTGAATGCCAGGCTAAGGAGTCTGGACTTTACCTAGAGTCAAGTTAAATCAACAAGCATTTATATTAAGTGCCCACTATGTGCCAAGCACTATGAAACCACTGAAGATTATTTTAACCTCCAAGTGTTATGACTAAAGAGAGGTTTTGGGGATATTATTCTGCAGTGGCAGAATGAACTGGAGAGGGAAACAATGAAGAATAACAAAGCATTTAGACTATTTTAACAGTTCAGAAATAAGGCACGAAAATAAAGAGATAATGAAAAAGAAAAATTGACATGATCTGATAAACCAAATTGGTACCCTTTGCAATATAACAGGAAGAAATTCATACCTAATACAGGGAAAACTAAAGATGAAACGGGAGAAGTGGGAAGCAAGGGCTCAGGCACAGCAGGAGCAAAAGGACTCAGCTGGTCCTCAGACACACATTTAACGGACACACAAGCTTCTAGCACTAAGTTACAAGTTGGCACCAGTACAAAGAGAAGAATTGGGGGGGGGGGTTAATAAAGCAAATGCTCTATTCCAGCAAATATTTTTTTAAAAATCAATTTCAACAAGGACTAGTTTCTTAGCTGCTAATATCACAGAGATCTTAGCTCCCCATTTGTCAATAGCTCCCTCATTTCAAATTCCTTAGTCTGGCATTCAAGGTTTTCCACAAATAATCTCGGACTTATCTCCCACTTCTGCTTCAGTCAAATTGATCCTTTAAGCGACCCCCAAGAGGGTTCTCCCTTTCACCATCTCACCATATTTTCACGATTATAGTGCCTGAACCTACCTAAATTCTACTCATCCCTTAAGTCTAAGCAGCTGTACTCATCCAGCTCAAGTGTAACCTTTTCTATTTAAATATTCCAAGAATATGACAGCAAATAACTCTCCCTACTGAATCCATAATACTGAAATATACCAATCATTTGGTAATTAATTATATACTACTTTGTGAAGTCTCTTATGGTCATTTTCCTCCTACATTTGTGACCTGTCTTCCTAACTTTATTATACTCTCCTTGAGAGGAATGAAAACATTTTCTTTTGGTTTTGTTTTGTTTTGCACCTAGCAAGTACCCTGTAAATATCTGTTATTTTATATTTGGAAAAGTTCTCTAGGCATTTAAGCTGCTTCAGTTGAAGAGAATTAATTGCTTCACTTACTAGATAATTTAAGAACTAAGACATCCTTCAAGTTGTAAAAGACTGAGGAAATTAGAGTTTCAAGTGGTAATATCACCATGTAGAGCTTAAATATTCCACCTGGATTTACTGCCTTTATCGAAATTTTCTTTACAAATGTTGACTTAAAGTGGCCTAAGATTGACTGGTTTACACTTTTAGTTCCTCCTATTCATTTGTCAGGTAGCCAGTTTTTTATTTGGTACCTACACAGTAAGGAATGGTTTAAAAAAAAAAAAAAAAGGACATCTTTTTTGTTTGTTTGTTTTTGCTGGGCAATGGGGTTAAGTGACTTGCCCAGGGTCACACTGCTAGTGAGTGTTATGTGTTCGAGGCCAAATCTGAACTCAGGTCCTCCTGACTCCAGGGTCGGCACTCTATCCACTGCGCCACCTAGCTGCCCCCCAAAAAAGGACATGTTGAGACAAGGCAACGAGAGCCACATGGCAGTTCCTAAGATATTTGGGAATGAGTGAGATTGGTGAAGACCTCTCATAAAATCTAAACTTAAATGAGTAAAATAAGATAAAGACTCCTAATAATATATGTGTAGGCAGGTCAGGAAGCTTGTAAATAGAGCAGATAAATATGTTCAAACTGTTGCAAAGACAAGTATAACTGCAAATTGTTCCAGGAACTGAAATGAACAAACAGGATGTACCAAGATGATACCTGAAGGAGGGGAAGGCAGGTGAAAACAATGTAACGGTTCTGTAATTTCCACTGCTGTTGCTGGGGTAGTTTTGCCCTGTTTAGATTGTGCCCTCTGAAGCCCAGCCAACGGGATAAGAGGTAGAGGCTAGGGAGGGGTTGCGGTTAGAACCTATAAAAATGCTTGCTTGGCTGACACCACCCTTGGTCTTCCATCAAAATACCTTTTGGTGCCAGTCACCCTTTCTTGCGAGATTGGAATAAAATCCTTTCTACTTTCTACCTGGAGAAGCCTCTGAATTAAATTGGGTAAGGGTCGTCGCTGTCCCACACAGGAAGCAGCTCATTCAACATGGAAGATGAATACCTACAACATTCTAAAATTGGGGAAAAAGATGACAGTACAAGAGAATGTCATAAATGATGAACTGGGAACTGTATTGTTTCCCTGACACTTTGTTTTTAACTAGGTGCTCCTCATGGCTGGAATGTACTCTCTCCTCCCCTTTGCTTTTTAGAATCCCCCAGTTTTCCTCTAAATTCTCAGGCACCTTCTACATAAGGCCTTTCCTGCTCACTCCAAATGCCAGGCTCCCTCTGCCCCAAGGTTACCATATACTTGGTTTGTATGTAATTGTATATACCTATATATGTCCAGATTGTCTCCTTCATTAGATTGTAAGTTCCTTGCAGTTAGGGACTGTTTGCTTTTACCTTTGTATCCCCATCACTTTGTACCTGGATTATTTGGCAAATAATTAGTAATAAAGTGTCTGTCCTATAGTGTTTTATAAACGTTGAGTAAGAGCCAGGCAAACCTAGGTTCAAGTCTAGCCTTTGCCGCAACCTGGCTGAGCAACCCTGGGCCAGTCACGTGATCTCTCGGTGCTCCAGGCAGAGAAGGTTCACATCTTTAAAGGCAGAGGACTTCCTCACAGGGGAATTCACTCTACTAATAAATCTCTAGTACAGTCCCTTATCCTTATCAACTCAACATGTCCACCTAACAGACTTTTTCTCCTTTTGTCAGAAGAGCAGCCAATCCACAGCACACAGAAGAGAGCTGAGGTTGCCCTCAACAAAACAAATTCAAATAAACATCAGTTTACTTTAAACAAATAATTACTGAACAGAATGTTTGCAAAAATTAACAGAATAACAGCTAGTTTCCCACAAGAGAATGACCCTTAAGCCTTGATTTTCAAAGTCTTGACTTTGAAAAAGACAGAGAAAATTCTCAAGGAAATCTGAAACACATTAACTTTTGCCCTAGGTTTAGCCCCTAGACTTTTGCTGCAAGAGAAAAGTGTGTGTCAGTTGGAAGCTTGGGAAAAGCTGGCAATTCAACTGCAGACTAACTACAAACAGATTCACAAGAGACCAGTAGGAGTTACAGCATATTCATTCAGCTCTATCCAAATTAAACCCAGTCTAGTGAACTCCCTGTGATCCACACTTCCTTGTAAGCAGGAATCTTCTCAGACAGCTACATCTCTGCCCCCCCCAATACTCTAGGAGTATCCAAACTCTAGGAGTATGCACATAACCCTGGAGATTTTGTTCTCATTCCCAGTACCCTAAAGCATCCAAAAGTAGAATAGCAGGTCTTACAAAGAAGACTGAAATAATGTTAACTTTGAGGAGTTTATTAGGATAACTAAATGTGAAGATACCACAGACAAGAAAAACAAAAAGGATTAAAAAGTTAAATAACCAAACCAAAGATTGCACCTCTATAGAACATATTCCGAAATTAGGTCCCATGGAGTCAATTACCATCCTTATGCAAATGATCCTTGGATCTAACCTCTTTCCTGACCTCCAGTCTTGCACATCCAACTGCCTATTGGACATCTCA